ATCTGATATACTGAGAGCTTCAGGAGAAGCAGGCAGGTGCGGCCTCTGATGGCCAGCAGTAGGGCTTTGGGTAAGAGGAGCTGGGAAAGAGCAGAGGCGAGGCCCTCTACATGCCCTCCCTCTCTCTGTCAGGTTCAAGTCCCCAGAGCTAACCTGGGCCACACTGTGAGCAGTGGTAAAGGGGGCATGGTGCAAAGCAGACATTCTCAATACTGATCTGGGGATTCTGAGCTCTAGTGGCTTGGCCACTTGCTTACGATCTTGGGCAAGTCACTTAGAGCCTTTGGGCCCATCACCTCCTTGTAAAATAGGAATTGGGACTTGATGACATGCTTCCCCTGTGCTCTCCAGCTCTTTTGGAGGACAGGGTAGTGATAACACTATGGTAGGGGAGCTAAGACTTCTGGAAGGCTCAGTACATGCCAGGCTCCATATTAAATGCTCTCTTCATGCTCACAGTGAACCTAGAAGGCAAGTAGTATCATAATTCCATTCTGCAGAGGAGGAAATGAGGGAAATGGAGGTTTCAAAAGGCTGAATGACCATGGAGAAGTAGGACCCAAACCCGGACAGTTTGCCTCAGGAGCACATGCCCTTAAACACAGAGCCACCTGGCTGCCCAGGAACAGAGGGTGCTCCAAGTCTGGATGAAGGATGGGTACCAAGTGACTGTGGCCGACTCCTTGATGGCTGCCTCTTGAGAGCCCCCGAGCACTGAATTTGGTGGGATACTGTGTACTCAATATAAATGATTTCCTTTCATTCTCACACCACTCTGAGAGGTGGACACACAGAGATTTTCGGTGGCTTGCTCCAGGTTACAAAGCTACCAGGTGATGAAACAGGGACTCCAACCAGTTTCTGATTCTGACTCCAACGCCATATTCTTCTACTCTACTGACCAAAAAGAGGCAAGTGTGATTTCAGATGCTCTCTTAGAAGAAAGCAACAACTCCAACATGACACCACTGTGGCTGAGTGTCCTGCTGTGATGCCTCCTAAGGGACTCTTGTTATCAGCAGGGCCCTGGCCTTCCCATCCTGAGTCTAGAGGAGGCATCCTATTCTCCTCCCTCATACATAGGTTTCTCTGTGTCCAAAATGGCTTGCCCCTGCCCTCTGCCCCCGACACAATCTTTGTCACAAATAAATGCTTCTCATCAAATGGGGTTCAGCGTCAGCACCACCCTGCTAAATTTCAGATACAGAATGATACACTCACACATTTCTCCACTAACCTTGTAATTTTATCAAAACAGGATATATGTTTATGTGACACACACTGTTCTTAGGGAACCGCACCCCAGGCTGGTCCCAGGCTCTTCTCTAAGTTCTCACAGCCATCTGCTCAATGGCTCAATCCTGAAATTTGCCAGGAATCCACAACCAATTTACTGATTTGTACCAAAGACAGCTAGTCCCTCTTTTGAAAATTAGCATGCTACCTGACAACCATTTCATGTTTTTTGCGCTCATGTGACAGACACAGCAGAAGACAAGTTATAGCACAATAAAACTGTTTCCATGACCTGAAAGAGTATCTTTAAAAAGAAGGAAAAAAAAATACAATTAAGGTCTAACATCTAACTTGTCATCTTGTATTATTCTGGTACATATCTAAATGTGACTAGTCATAGTTTCTAACCTTTTCCTGGGTAATACTAATCAAGGTTATTTAAATATATGTGTAAATATACATACTTAAGTGTATACATATACACATATACAAGCGTATAGTGTGTCTATCTATGTACATATCATATATACCCTATAATAGTCACATCAACAGTCATAACTGCGAAAGGGCTTTGGGAAGGGCAGGGAAGGGTGGCAGAGAAGCAAAGCAGGAGTATGGGTCTCTACGGCATTTCCTTTATGACATCTTCCTCAATACTGGACCTTCAAACAACTACAAGGAATTATCCAGTGCCTACTGGATTCTAGGCAATTGTCCTTTCATACACATTGTTTTTCTCGAATCTTTAATTTACTCAACAGCAGCTACTTGACTATCAAGAAAAGATCTTGGTTCCAAATCCCCTGCAAAATTTCACAAAGCACTCAAACTCATCTGGGGTGGCCCCAGATGAACTTGTCACTTCTACATTCGTTTAGTAGTTATGTTTTTTTAATAAAGAAAAATGTGTCAGGGGCCAGCTGAGTGGCTCAGTTGGTTAAGAATTGGCTTAAGAGCGCGAGCTCTGAGCAACAGGGCCGTCAGTTCGATTCCCACATGGGCCAGTGACGCTGCACCCGAGCTGAGCTGTCGCTGAGCTGCCAACAGGTTGCAGGATGGCTCAGCTGGTGTAACAACAAGATTGCCTGTTCGATGCCCACCCACAGCTAAGATTGAACTTGGCACCTTGAGCTGAGCTGCCGCCCAGATGCCTCAGTGGATAGAGCATGCGATTTTAACAACAAGGCTGCTGGTTCGACTCTTGCATGGGATGGTGGCTCCGCCCACCCGAAACTAAGATTGAACACAGCACCTTGAGCTTAGAGGCCACAAGCTGCCAACGGGCAGCCAGGTGGCAACTGGCACCCTCCACAACGAAGATTGAAGAACAACAACTTGGCTGGTCCCCTTCCCCAATTCCTAATAAAATCTTAAAAAAAAAAAAAAAAAAAGAACAGAAAAATGGGTCAGGTTTGCCACATAGGAGATGAGTTCTAAAGTATGGGCCAAATTATTCGGCAGTATACAAACACCTGGTCCCCACAAATGATTAACGTATTTCTAATGAGAACTGAAATCAGACAAAGATAAAGATGCTTAACTCATTAAGTAAAATTTCCTAGCATTTTTTTAAAGGATCACAAGTACTTAATATTAGCATGAAGAAATAAGCCATAATAACTTTTTTTTCTTCCTGAACAGAAATGCTAGCTGCAAATCAGTCCTAGAAAATTTAGCCTTTTTAAAATAGTGAGCTCTGTGTTTTTAAAACTTGTCAGCTGTAGCTGCATAACAGGAGAATGGCCCCTTACGAATCCGTCACTGCAGGGTCAGACAGAGGCTGAAGTGTCGTCCTAGGAGCCTGCAGTGGTGGACAACACCCCCCCACCTCCAACTCCAGGACCAGAGTTCTGCCGTTTGCAGTGGACAGTGGAGCAGAAAGGGAGAAAAGGTATCACTGATTTTTTTGTAAAATGTATATACCGTGATGTGTACAGCAAATTGGGATCAGGTCCCACATGGAGTCTACCTCCAGAGAGAAGCATTCATTGGGTTAACAATTACAGCTGACCGTTGAACAACAACATGGGTTGTAATTGCATGGATGCACTAACACAGGGATTTTTTTCAATAAATAGACACTGGGCCCTGTCTATACCGGAGTTTCAAATTCAAGGATTCACCTAACTGCGGACAGAGAACAGTACTTTTGATCCGCAGGTGGGAATCCGCAGATGCGGAGGGCCAACTGTATGTATAGGTCTAAACTTTTGTATATAAGGAACCTGAGGATCTGGTATCCGTGGGGGTCCTGGAATCAATCCCCGGCAGACACCCAGGGATGACTGTAGTTAAGTTTTGGGGAAGTCAAAAAGCAGATTTCCAACTGAGTGGGGGTTCACCAGCAGGGGCAGGATTTGAACCCACAGTTCCAGGCTCATCACCACCATGAGCAGTACTGCCCCCATTTCTTAGATGCACTTGGGCCCTGGAAGGGCTAGTTCTAGACAGGCTCCTAGGGGGTCCGGTCAGGGCTCTTTCTAGTGCCACACCCCAAAGAGGCCACTCCAATGATGCTGAGGCTGCTTGGCTGGCAGAAATGCAAGGAAAAAGGAAGCAGCTGGCTAGATGTTTCTTCCTATCTGACCAGAGCGCTGGGAGTCCTCAGTTGTCCACCAGGTTCCAGCTGACCACCAGAGAGAAGCAGGTCCAGAAGAGAACGTAATGAGCACCCACAGGCCCCTCCACGTGGTGAGTTCTGACTTCAATAAGTCAGCTCACACTGCAGAGGGTGCTCCTCACACACTTCTCTCAGTGTCTTAACCTGTCAGTCACTACAATCAGGCTCTACAATCAGGCCTGAAGGGCTTTCCCTCTGAAAGACAGGTGCCTGCCCACCAGCACTTCATCATGGATTAAATCCTGCTCTGACATATTTTGACCCCAGCACCCCATACAGTTGTTTGTATTAAGAAGCACTGTGTGAACCCCCATTTCCAGCAGCTAGACGGGGCCCCCAGAACAGCCTGGGGGCTTTGTGAGGATTGCTCAACAGTCCATGGGGAGAAGCAATGATAGGTACAAACAACTGGGGGCCACAAAGGACAGCTTCTGTCTTTGGAGTCATCCCCATATAACACTGAGGGAGGCAAACTGGAAACCCAACTTGCACATGCCCCAACAGAAGGCCAGGGAAAGTGCAAATCGCAGCGGGTAGCAGCGTCCAGGCCCTGCTGACCTGGGCTGGGAACAAGGGCGCTGTCTCTGCCTTCCTCCCCAAAACGCCCTGCCCAGTCTTCCAGGTCAGGGCAAGAGTCAGGCCCGAATGTGACCCGAAATTTGAGCTTTCAAATTCCAAGAGCTCCAGGAAACATCAATTACAGTAACAAAACCGTTCCATACAAGGGGTGGAGGGGCAAGGGACCCAGGAGTGTAGTCCTCCTTGCTCTTCCCTCCAGAAAACTAAAAGCCTTCCTCAATTCAAGGACTAGGTCTCTGATCTTCCCCTGCTCCAAACACACACCCACTCCGCTCCCACTCCCTCCTCACTCGCCACAACGTCCACACAGCGGACCCCAGGCTCGGGCACACCTGCCCCATCCCATACACACGTGCACACTTGTGCACCGACACCCCCACACTTGCACACCTGTCCTCGATTTGACAGGCACACACCCCCCCATTCCTGCCCGCGCTCGCTAACCTGCCTGCTCACGATCCCCCAGGCACCCACTCGCTTGTCCTCTCCCCGCCCTCCAGCCCCCCTTTCCGCGCGCTCCTGGCCGCGCCCCGCGCCCCGGCAGCCCGTAGCCCTCTGCACTCACCCGCGCGGCGCAGCGCCGGCCTCTGCTATCCCGCCGGCCCTGCGGCCTGGGGCCCTGCGCCGCCCGCTGCCCGCTACCGGCCGTGGCTCTTGGGCTGGTCCTGCTCCTTCGCCGCCGCCGTCGCTTCCCGTCACGTGGGGCGGCCGCCGGGCGCCGGGAGGGCGGGAGCGCTTTGGTCCCCGCGCCCCACAGCCGTCCCTGGGTTGTTAGTAACCACGCTCCAGGCCCAGCGCCCAGTGGGGCTCCCCTCAGTTTCCTCCAGACCAAGGGATCACAATAGCGCGTGCCTCGTAGGGGGTCAGGAGTGTAAATGAGTTCATTTATCCTGTAAAGCACTTAGAAAGCTGACTTGCATAGGGTAGGTGCTCATGAAGTGTTAGGGATGGCTGTTAGTGTATTTCCTCTTCCCCCACCGGCATGTAGAGCTTCATGAAAACACGGGCCTTGTACGATATGTTCACCACTCCTATTTCTAACACCAAAACAGGCTGGATGTAGTGTAGGACCGGAGAAATAGCTGCTGAATGAATCAACCAACCAACCAACCAACCAACCAACCACACCAATCAGTCCTGGTAAAAGCTTGACCACGCTGCCATCTGACTGGCAAAGTCTTGCTGAGGTGTTTCTTATGGCACTGAAATGTATTGTTGAGCAGCTAATCATTGACCAGGGGGGCCTAGAATCCACATTCGCAGGGTAGAGAGAGCTGTATATGACTAGTCACAGGTGACACCTACTGACGGCCTGACACTGGGCTAAGGGCCTTACAGCAATGTTCCCATTTAAGCCTCGCCCTGTTCTTATGAAGTAGGCACTATTAATGTCTCCATTTTACAGATGAGTTACTGAGGCAAAAAGTGAATGACTTACCCCAAATTCCCTGGTAGTAAGAACAGAGCAAGGATAAGAACCCAGACTTCAACAACACAGTGAAATTTTTATATATGTAAAATTAAGTTCTATTGATTGAATAGTTTATGGAACATTTGTATTCTGCTTTAAACAGCCTTGGAGTAAAAATGTATATTAACAAAAAAAGAGGGAAAAAAGATAATTTGGAAATAATTATTTCCTTTATGAAAGGATTTACCATAGAAATCCTAAGATGGCAAGCTCCACATGTGCAGATTATCCCATCTAGAAACATCTGTCCTTTCTGGAACTTTCTGAGAAGTCTATTTCACACATGAAAGGCACCTGTATGTATTATTCCATAAGCATGGAAATATTTGCTCCAGGGCTAATTCTAAATTCCTTATGTTGTTTTGACTGATTATATTTCAGAAGAAATTTCAAACTCATATGTTTTTCAAACAAGTTGTTAATTAACTTTATAATATTTATTAAATATCCCTTGGGTCCATACTAAACATGTTCAAAGTATCTTATAGAATATGAAAAAGATGTATTCTAATAGATTAATGAAAATTGAGTTGAATAGATACAACTGACTGCTTTATAGTGGCCATCTACTCCCCAAACTTAACATCCTTACACTCACACATACTCACACTTAAAGTTCCTCACTGGTTGTAAGCTCTTAAGGACAATGAGTGTGTCTATCATGTTCTCAGTGTCTATCTGCATGTAGGAAGCACTCAACCAATTTTTAAAATTCCTGATACTCAATATTAGTAAACTAGGTTATCTTTCTTTTTTTTTTTTTTTATTGGGGAAGGGGAACAGCCAAGTTGTTGTCCTTCAATCTTAGTTGTGGAGGGCGCAGCTAGCTCAGCTCCAAGTCCAGTCGCCACCCGACGGCAGCTTGCAGCCAATCAACTTAAGGTGCTGTGTTTAATCTTAGTTGTGGGTGGGCGTAGCCCACCATCCCATGTGGGAATCAACCAGCGATCCTGTTGCTCAGAACTTGCGCTTTTAACCAACTGAGTCACTCAGTCGGCCCTAGGTTATCTTTAAAAAAGGCTTTTAATGCTAAGATTCTGTTACTTTAATTTATAAGCTCTTTGTTAAAAGTAACATCTAGTTTGGGTATCATTTTAAAAGATGAGGTTAAGCAAAGGTTACACTTATGATTATTTTTAGCCAACATAGCTTACTACGGGCCATGTTTTAAGAGCTCTTATATGTATTCTCATTTAATGACATATATATTCATCAACTTGTAATCTATATTCAGTAAAATAAACTTCTTAAACTGTTCATCAAATCAACTATGCTTATTTCTTGAACAGCTCCTATGAGCCAGGTCCTACGGCAGCAGCAGCTGAGGATACTAAAACAAAAACACAGCCCCTACCCTCAAGCAGCTTACTTTAGTTCAGTGGTGCATAAAGGATGATGGGTAGCAGTACCAACAACACCTTGAAACTTGTTAGAAATGCTAATTCCCCTGCCCACACTCCACACTAACACGGGAAACTTGGGGGTGGGGTGCAGCACTGTTTTTTACAAGCTCTCCAGGTGACTTTAACGCTCACTCAATTTTGAGAACCACTGATTTAGTGGAGTATGTGGAAGAAATACCTTCCTAACCAGATCCTAAGGTTAAAAAATCATGTTCTCTAGAAGTCTGGTGACAGGAGAGCTCAGTTAGGAAGTGCCTGAGGATCTGGAAAGGTTTATTCATATTCATTCAGCACACACTTATTGTTGTTCTATTGTGTACCAGGGACTGTGCTGGGTGCTGAGAACCCAAAGATGTAAGAGACAGTTTCAAGGAACTCATGAAAACAAGTGTCATATGAGATGGGTTTTATAAGAAAGCCGGTAGGAAGTTTAAGTATGTAAATGCATCTTTATGATGGTCTGATTGTAAAAGGAATGAGAAAGGACAATAAGAAAAAATATAATCATTAATTATTATTATGGTACTGAAGGTAGTTATTTGAAACTCAAAGCAAAACTGTAGTTCTAAATAGCTTAAAACACGGGTCCAAAATGTGAAGTGTTTTTTAAATTGTTGTATTCACTTTGAAGCTCTTTGAATTATGCTGATATATTTGACAGTATTTGTAACAAAAATCTTAAATATTACACTAACAAAAAGAGAAATCAACACTCAAAGTTCTCAATATTTTATGATTCAATGAACATTTATTGAGTAACGACTAAGTGCAAGCACTGTGTATGACAGTGACCAGGTGGGAGATTCAAGGGAAATATACTGCCCTGTCCTAGAGGAACTCATAACCTAATGAGGTGATGATGTCAGGCAAGGCAGTCTGTTGGTTTCCCTCAGCTTTGTTCTTGACAACTACAGGCACCAAATAAACATGTTAAATTAACGAATAAAACCCATGATCTTCGAGTGAAGGGAAAACTCTCATACTGAACTTAAAAATTTATGATTACTGTATGATACTCACAGATAATAAACTTCCATCTACAATTCAAGTGTGTAACAAATAGAAGTTTTTGTTTTCTGTAAGCATTATTTCTATTTTAAGTCCCCACTTGACTGCATTAACAATAATCTTATCAAAGCAGGCCCGCTCCCTTCCTCAGGGCTGTGTCTAGGTTAGGGAATTTCTGCAGTGCCAATATCAGAAGAGGGAGACACCAGATCTTTGCATCACTGGTCCCCAAAAGGATTCTAAGATGTTCTTTTTCCACTCTGGTGTTGGTTTTCAGTCTTTTGATCTCAGTCCTGACAGGCCTGGCCCCTCCAATCATGGTGACTGCCTGGCTTGAGGGTGGAGGACGTCTGTGGCTTCCTGTGATGTGGCAGAAATCTGTGAGATGGCCCTTCTGCCTAGACATATTTGAAACATCGCCTCAGAACTTGTTAGAAATGCAAATTCTCCCCCACCCACCCAAATTCCTACCTCAGAAATGCTGATTAAAATACAATCAGCAGACTACAAATACCCTCAGGCTCCACTCTCCAAAGCTCAGCCTAGAATGGAGAGAGGAGGCAGGCATTCCAGAAACTCTCCTTCCCTTGGAGAGGCAGGGTTATTAGAATCTTATTGTACTTCCTCGTCTCTGAATCTTGAGGGGTTTTTTTCCCTGCCTCAGAGGATACACTCCCTCTATACCAGCGGTTCTCAACCTTTCACAGGGGTCGCCTAAGACCATCAGAAAACACATATTTTCAATGGTCTTAGGAACCAAGACCTCTATCCATCTCCAGGCCCACATGCAGATACGCCCACATACGAGTAACTGGCGACCCCTGTGAAAGGGTCGTTCGACCCCCAAAGGGGTCGCGACCCACAGATTGAGAACCTCTGCTCTATACTGAGGTTTTAGTTTCAGAGGCACCTAGAATTATCTTAATGGATTTAGTTTTAAACTGGGAACTACTGGGAGAAAATAAGCACAGATCTTACCTGCTGGAAAACATTTTGCTTGAGGTTTTAGGTTAGGTGACTGGTCCAGAAAACTACAGGAAGAAAGAACACAGCAAGGAGCTGTAACCACATTTTCAGACTTTTAAACTCAAGTTTTTTTTTCCACCGCCACCACCATCCTGTCACTTCTGTCCTTTGATGACAGTCAAAGGCTACAACAAATCTCCAGGGAGAGGCAACCGGGCAGGCACTTTTCATACTTCAGCTCTAACCTAGCACACAACACTGTGAGGTGCTGTTATAATTTCCATTTCACAGGTGAGGAAGCTAAGGAGGAGAGACATGAAGTATTTCTAAAAACCACCTACCGGTTATTAAGCACCTACTCTGTGCCAAATGTGTTTGGGAGAAGAATCCTTTGATAATTCTCCACGGAAGTTATTAGCAGAGCATTTTTCTGATAAGACTGAGGCTCAGAGTCCTGAGTAACTCACACAAGGTGTTGGTGTAGCAGAACAAAACCTGGCTTTCATGTCTCCTTGCAAGGCAGCTGCTATTGCCACTAAAACAAATGTACTTTTTGGTGAAGGAAAGGAGGACAAAATGATACCAGTCACACTGATTTCACTATTGTCCTGAAAATCATTTTCGATATGAAATACCATGATGTTAATACCATGAAGTTAACACACTTAACTTTAAATTAGGACATCCGAATGCTGCCTCAGCTCAGTTCTAAAACGCTGTTCAACTTTGGGCAAGTCGTTTAATTTTCTTCAGGTCAGCTTCCTCAGCACTAAAATGGAAGACCTGGGCTGAGTAACTTTTAAGTTTCTGCCCAACTCTGAAGTTTCTAAATAAAGTATCATATATATAAATGATTAAGAAAAACTGCAAAACACCTCTCAACTTTATCGTCTTTTTAATTTAGCATCTCATTTATTTTCCAATTCTCTTTCAAGGTTTAGCTTTTGAAATCCTCAGAGTTGTTCACGTTTTTGTAGACACTACAATGATTTCCAATAAAAAGGTACTTCTTAGAGGATGTAAACCATAAGCATTTAGAACTGCCTGCAAGCTTAAGTTTTAAATGTGCAAAATATTTTGGGATGTATATACCTCGTCCACAAAAGATGAAAGAGAAGTAGAAAAGATTTTAGTAAATTAATTACTAGGGATTAGATTATAATCAACAGCTACAAGTTTCTTTAAACTAAAACTGTTACTTCAATATAGTTGTGCAGAGAAAATGTACTTGAATATCAACCTTGCTACCCTCCTGTGATCTTGAGCAAATTACCCTCAAGTCTGTTTCCTCACCTGAAAAATAAGCATTTTAGTAATATATACCTTATAGGGCCATTCTGAGGAATAATCCATATAAAATGCATTACCTGGTACATAGTAAATGTGTAACAAACGTTTGGCCGTTGTCACCGGCGTGCTGTCCGTTATTTTCATACGTGAAGTTAATTCGCAGTATTATTTCAGGGAACAAACACTTGAGCGCCTACTATGTGCGAGGCACTGAGAAACTAAAGTCTCTGGCCTTATATCATATTAAAGAAGGATTAGGAAACAAACGATAAACAGGTTAAAAAAAGGAAGCCTAAATAGTACCAGGCGCCGCGGACGCCATATTTAGGATAACGTCTACCTGCCTTCCCCGCCTCTTTTCCGAGAGGCTGCCCTGGGAATCCCTTTGGCCTCTGCCGTTATACGTCACAGGAGGCGCGACCAATCGTGGCCGGCTCCGTGAAAGTCGCTGAGAGCATTCCCAGACGAGAGCCAGCCAGCTCGACCCACATCAGGCCGCGGGAGGTAGCGCGGACGCGCGGCGCACCCAGAGTGACGACACTCGAGTCCCCGCCCATATACGTAACTTCCTGGACTCTTTCGCGGAGCCTTGTGGGTAGCCGGCCGGGGGTCTCCTGGCGACGACGATGGCGGGGGACGTGGGCGGTCTCAATTGTACGGATTCCGAGCTGCTGCTGCATCCGGAGTTGCTGTCCCAGGAGTTCCTCCTCCTCACGCTGGAGCAGGTGAGGCGTGCCGGGATGGGTGGGCCTACTTGGGAGAAGTGCTTGGACCGGAGCCCGCCCCAAATATCCTCACTGGTGGCGGACACACCCGCCGCCGACGCTCCTCGCGCTGGGTTTGTGCCTCTCCACCCCTCACAGACCAACTGACCAGGTCTCCCTCCCCAGGCCCTCCGGAAAAGAGACGTCCTTAGCCTATCAGAAATTTCCGGGGATTCGGACTTACCTTTTTGGATTATTGATGGTTCGGAAAGAGGAGTCCGAAGCGACCTCCGCGGTCTGTGTGTAAGCAACGGCCTGAGCAAAAGAAGGACTGGGGAAGAATCGTGGAAGAATATAAACGAAGGATAGTTAGGGACTGTCAGGGCTAGAAAGCATCGGAGAAATCGCCCATTCTCCACATTCTCACCTCGCTTACAGACGAGGAAACAGCCCCAGAGAGGTGAAGTGACTTATTTAAGGTCACACCATCGGTACATGTGGTAAATTATACAGCCAGGAGGAGAATTCGGGGCTCCTGGCTCTCAGTATAGCGTTTGCTCCTTTTCAGCTAATGTGGCTTCCGGTTGTAGATGAAAAATAAGACAAAAAAGTGCTAAGTTTTGTTTCAAGTGGTAGAGTATTACTGAACGTTTCCTTGGGCGTTTTAATTTAGCATGTTTTGTTGTTTTTCCTGTGTTTTCCCTTCAGTACTGTACTCTTGTCTTTCTCTAATTTCCTCAAGCCCTCCTGCTAAGTACAATAGATTATTTTAATGATGTCAATTCCTTTTACCTCTGGTTTGCCAAACTTGAGAATCACCCTAGGGCTTTTTAAAATACAGATTGCTGGACTCCATCTCCAGAGTTTCTGATTCCGTAGGTCTGGGGTGTGGCCTGAAAATTTGCATTTTTAACAAGTTCTTGCTGCTGGTCCAGGGACCACAGTTTGAGCACCTCTGCTCAAGAGCCGTGCTTCCCAAGCTAATGTGCCTATGCATTCTCCGCGAATGTTGTCCAAGTGAATTCCCAGGGTTTCCACATACTTCTGAGAGAATACAAGGTGACAATACAAGAGAATACAAGGATTGTCTAGTATAAGAGAGGAAAGAAGTAAAATGTGTGCTTTCAAGTTTTGAAGGGAAAAAAAAGGAATTGGTGTAAGTTTATTACAGGACATAGATTGGACTTTTTTTGTCAGTTCTACTAAACACAAATGTTTGCAAGCCTTTCGGAATTGCATTTGAAGAACCTGTGATCTCATTTCCGTCCTCGTAAACCTAAACCCAAACTGTAACTACTGTGCCTTGTGCTGATGTTGAGAACAGACTGGAAAATGAGGGAGAATGAGGTGATTTAGATGGCTGGACAATGACGACGCTACCTGAAAGAACTGGTAAAACATGAGGGGTGGGTTCTAGTGATGTACTGTCAGTCAGTACAGTCATTGGTTAAGGGAACTGCAGTTTCCATTTGTAGGGCCATTTGAAATCTTGGTAGTTAACTAACTTCAATTTAAGAACAGTATTAAAGAAACATGGGAAATAATATGCAGGGTGAGACCTCCAGCCCACTAATCTGATCATGGTAGTAACACTCTAGATAACTTTTTTGAGAGAATGTACTAATTGTTATGATTGTTAGCTTTTTTATTTTTTTTGTCTGTTTTCTCCAGGCAGTCCCCCATTTTCAATTCCCTTCATAGATGAAGATGATGCTAATGGTAATACTCTTATTGCCTGGTATGTTGACTAAGCAGTTGTGGACAGCAGTCCTTGTCACACTGAGGACATATTACCATTATCTTTAAGAGGAGGCTGAACATAGTATTTACAGGCTTAACCTATGTACGACGATACTGCTTCTTGCATTATTACATAGGACACTTAAGCATGTGTCTAATTGTGAAAATAGTTTTATAATTTGCTATTTAAGCAGTATTGTTTTGCCTTGTTAGGTTAGTTGGTTAGTTATTAAAATGAAGGATGTCGTTTTGAAATTACTTTTATTTCCTTTTCCACAGAAGAACATAGCTGTTGAAAATGACGTAAGAATAAACAAAGACAATCTTACCGATCTTTATGTTCAGCATGCTATACCATTGCCTCAGAGAGAATTACCAAAGAATAGATGGGGGAAAATGATGGAAAAGAAAAGAGAACAACATGAGCTAAAAAGTGAGACTAAAAGGTACTTTTCAGTTTTTCTGGTTTTCTCTTGTATGACTAAACAATTTTGCTTTTTTCCCCCAGGTAATCTTAGGTTAAAAAAATTCAGTTACTCAGTAAGTATTTACTGAACACCAGGCACTGTACATATAACATGAATAAAACTGACAAAATTCCCTGCTCATATTTTAATTGGAAGAAACATAATAAAAAAGTTAAGTAAAATATATGACATGTTACATGGTTATAAATGCTAAGGAGAAAAATAAAACAGAGAGAGGAATTACAGTTTTAGGTAAAGTGGCCAGAAACAACGTCACTGAAAAATGCCATTTCAGTAGAGAGACCTCTAGAAAGTAGCGAGCAAGCTAGCATTCCAGGCAGAATACAAGAACCTGGGTCAGGTGTGCCCGTCATATACCAAGAGCAACGAAGAGGCCTTCAGGCCAGGAGTGGAGAAAATCGGAAGAATGGGGGGAAGAGGTTTATTGGGGATGAATGGAGATTGTTTTTCAGATTCTGTGAAGCTCTGTAAGGCATTGTGGGAACTTTGGCTTTACTCTTGAGCTGAGAGGCCTTTGGAGGATTTTGAGCAGGTGATGACACCATCTGATGTACATAATAACAGGATCATGCTGACTGCTGTACTGAAAATTGATTTAAGATGGAGGAGGGAAACCAGTTAGGCTATGCCATATAATCTAGGCAACAGACGGTGGTGACTTCAACCGAGGTAGTAGTGGGCTTGGTAAGAAGTGGTTGGGGTTTCGATGTATTTTGGAGGTAGAGCAAACAAGATATGCTGAATTGTGAGAAAGAAATAGAGTCAAGTAAGACTCTTAAGATCTTTGAATAGTAATAGAAATGAAGAGACTGTCATAGCTGCAGGGACACTATTTAATTTAAAACTTTTTAAAATTTAGGAAATTGTTTATAAAACAACCAAATGAATTTCCTTTTTTAAAGAAAGTTACATTTGATTGATCAGTATAATTGGTTGGTTAATGAGGACAAGAGTGCCCTAAGATCCCTCAGTGGGCAAGTTATTTCTTTTTCTGTGTCTTTTATCATAAGTGGGTGCTATTCATTAATTACTGAATAATTACTTTTGTTTGTAAGGTACCGTTGTAGGCAGTGCACTAGAGATAGGGAGAAGATGGAGTGAGAGGGCAGGGGTGGGGGAAGAATGCTAACTGAGTTGATCAGTGGTTTTAATTTCTAGTTACGAAGAAAAACTCATGGTTGGTAGGGATATTATTCTACAAGTATTAGAATAGTTGAAGAGTACCACATGTACACGGTCGGACAATTCAGTTCGTGAACTTATCCTAGAAAAAGTGCTACATACCTCATTGCTGAACATCACTATGGTCACTTTCGAAGTACTCCCCTTGGAAAGCTATGCACGGACACCAGCTCCTAGTCCACCCTTGAAAGCAATTTTTGAATTTTTTTTCTGGAATGGCCATCAGAACTGTCGTCATTTTACCCTTGATGTCCTGAATGTCATCAAAATGTGTTCCTTTAAATATTTCCTTTATCTTCTGGTAAAGAGAGAAGTCATTGGGGACCAGATCAGATGAGTAGGGAGGGTGTTCCAGTACATTTATTTGTTTACTGGCTAAAAACTCCCCCACAGACAGTGCCGGGTGAGCTGGTGCATTGTCGTGATGCAAGAGCCATGAATTGCTGGTGAAAAGTTCAGGTTGGGGCCGGCCTAGTGACGCGTTGGTTAGGAGTTGGCTTGGGACGCCAGCTCTGAGCAGCAAGGCCCCGGTTCGGATCCCACATGGGGGCCAGTGATGCTGGGCCCTCTACAGCTAAGATGGTGAACAACAGCTCAACCTGGAGCTGGGCTGCCGTGAGTCACCAGCAACGACGTAGGCTGCAGTGGGGCTGGCTGACAACTGGCGTGAGCTGCCATAAGCGGCTGTCCAGTGGCCGGCGAGCAACTGCCTCTCCCGGAAAGAGTGCAATGATAACACCAACACGGGCCAGTGAAGCGATGTCCTCGGCAACTAGACTGAGGAACGCAAGGACAGCAACTTGTCTGTTTCCCTTCCCCGATTCCCCAACGCTATTCCCCTCTCCCAATTCCGAAATAAAAATCTTTAAAAAAATAAATAAATAAATAAGTTCAGGTCGTCTAACTTGTTCACACATCCTTTTCATCACTTCCAAATAGTAAATTTGGTTAACTGTCCAGTTGGTACAAATTCATAATCCCTTTAATATCAAAAGGTTAGCAACTTTGTTGCAACAAGTTCACAAACTTAGTTGTCAGACCTTGTATGCCCATAGCCTTTGGAAAGTCAATACATGTACAGCCTCACTTTTGATCAGAAACGCATTTAGTTCCCATTGAGCATCATTTTAGCTTGATGGTTACATGTGGTACAGGCTGTGTGTTAGTGTTAATTTTCATAGATGTATAGTTTATGCTGTATAGATCTTCACTTTTATTGATTCTTACTAAGAAAATGTTTTCTTTTTGATCTGCACATTCAAGCACATTGTCCTAAGCGAAACTTTCAATACTGTTATATGTCATATGATAACCCCTTTTAGTCCTTTAACGACACTTTGTAAAAGATCTTTGGTTCTATTTTTTAAAAAATCACAGTTTGACTCTTGTATCAGCATTAAAGCCACAAGGATCTAAGAGACCGTTAGGTATTGTTGAACCGCTTATTATTTTCTCTCTCGGGGAGCTAAGCTCCAGAGAAGTGTTGTGACACGCCCTGGGTCACACACAGCTAGGACCAGATTTTTAGTGCAGTGCCTCTCAAACTTGATGTACTTCTCGAATCTTAGATTGAACTCTTACAAGCTGGTGCGCCCTGCTTCAACAGTCCTAAGTCCTGTTTCCCTCCTGCAATGGCAGTGAGTGTACAGTGAGCTTATTTTTCTTCATCTATCAAATGATGTTTAGTGGTAACTCAAGAATTGGTAAGTTTGGCCAATCTTAGGACCTGGTTAGAAGGTAGGTTCTGAATCAGTACAGGTTGAGTCCCAGACTCTGCATTTCTTACAAGCTCCAAGATGCTGCTGCTGCCAGTCCTTGGACCACACTGGGTCGCAAGGTGGAAGTTTTCTTCCTGCTCAAGTTCTTTTCACGTGTTTAATTAAAAGATTTTTATCATAAACATATTGTTTAACTTCAAGTTATTATTTATCTTTACAATGAAGAGTGCAAATTAGGTTTTCAGAAGCTAAATTTGAAGACTTGTTAAATTTTAAAATTATGCATGTTACAGTTAGTTTAGAAAATGCTTTGACTTCAGAGATCTTTGATGAGTGGAATAGAATTTTCTGACTCATTGCAGACTGCCACTATTGTAAATGTTTTGTTAGTTTTTGGTTACTGTGAAATTCTGCTTTAAAGTTCTAGGGTTAGTTGGTCGAGTGACGTTTTAAAAATAACTATCTTGTGTATACAATAAAGCTTAACTTGAAGTTTCATGTCAATAAGTATTTAAACTTTAAAGCACTGGAAAATTATTATTTCATTTAGAGTGAACATAGACAATTTCATGTCCAGCAGTCCTACTTACAATAACTTACTGAGTCTTATAAGTAAAACTTCTTTGGTTATTTTAACCTTGCATTTTAGTGAACTGCTTGGCCACTCCAGATGGTATTTTTTTTATGAACACGTCTCTTTGATTTCAGGAGCAGCACTGTAGACGGGTTAAAGAAAAGACCCCTAATTGTGTTTGATGGAAGTTCAACAAGTACAAGCATAAAAGTGAAAAAAACAGAGAATGGGGATAATGATCGACTCAAGCCTCCCCCTCAGGCAAGCTTTACCAGTAATGCCTTTCGAAAATTATCAAATTCCTCTTCAAGTGTTTCACCCCTAATTTTGTCTTCCAATTTGCCTACGAACAATAAAATGGAACACAATAATAATGACACTAAACAGAACCATGACTTAACGCATAGGAAAAATCCTTCGGGCCCTGTGAAGTCGCCACCGTTGTCCCCTGTTGGAACCACTCCTGTGAAGTTAAAGCGAGTTGCTCCTAAAGAAGAAGCCGAGGCCACGGTGAGTGGGGGGCGTTTCCCTGTTAATAGGAGCTGTGAACGAAAGCCCTGAGCCCTTGGCTGCACTACAAACTGTTCTTGACCCCTTACATGATCTGGTTGATTTTTACATCTCATTTCTCATGTTAGGACCCTGGAATTTTAAAATCTATGATGATAAGCTAATGTTTTTTAAAATGCACTCGATTTTTTTTCTCTGTTTAAAATGTGTAAATAGAGTCTCAGGCAATTTCCCTAGATTTTTCTTATTTAGATCCTTTAACTATCTTGGAACTAAAAGAAACATTCTTTGTTAGCAAGGTTCAGAACGTTAAGTGATTTGCCCAGGGTCACGCATTTATTAAGTAGCATTTCTGAGCTTCACCTTAGTCGGTTATGCACTTACCTTAAAACCACATGAGAGTTTTAGGATTTACCATTTCCACCCCCCTGCCCCTCAAATGTCCCTATCGTTGGAGGAATAGAGGACATTTAGGAGGACCTGCTATGTGGTGCTGTCCTATACTTAAACATTTGGGTGCCTGGATTTCATATGCTGGCAAATTTGGTGCAGTTACACAATTTATTTAGAGTTTAATTTATGAGATAATACACCTATCTGTTTATCTGTATCTGTCTAATCCTTCCCTAAGCTTCTCAGAAAAGTGATTTCACTTTTTAAACATATAGCAGTTATAGCCTTTATTCCTTGGCTTAATCTATTCAGACCGCTACAACAAAAAATACCATTGACTGGGTGGCTTGAGCAACAAACATTTATTTCTTAGAGTCCTGGAGGCTGGGAAGTCCAAAATCAAGACACTGGCAGATTCAGTGTCTGGTGAAGACCCATTTCCTGGGTCAGAGTCCGCTGCTTGTCCCTGCGAGGGGAAGAGGGAGCTTTCTGTAGTCTCTTTTATAAGGACATTAATCCCTTTCTTAAGGGCTCCACCCTCATGTCCTAATCACCTCAAAGGCCTCACCTCCAGGGCCAGCCCAGGAGCTCAGTTGGTTAAGAGTTAGCTTAAGAACAGGAGCTCTGAGCAACAGGGCTGCTGGTTCTATTCCCACATGGGCCAGTGAGCTGCACCCAAGCTGAGCTGCCGCTGAGCTTCCAACAGGTGGCAGGATGGCCCAGTTGGTAAGAGCACGTGCTCCTAACAACAAGGCTGCCTGTTCGATGGTGGGCTATGCCTGCCCGCAACTAAGACTGAACTCAGCACCTTGAGCTGAGCTGCCACCAGATGGCTTAGTGGATAGAGTGTACGCTCTTAACAAGGCTGCTGGTTTGACTCCTGCATGGGATGGTGGCTATGCTCACCACAACTAAGATTGAACACAGCACCTTGGTTTAGAGGTCACGAGCTACCGACAGGTAGCCAAATGGCGACTGGTGCCCTCCACAACGAAGATTGAAGAACAACAATTTGGCTGGTCCCCTTCCCTAATTCCCCAACACTGTTCCCCTCCCCCAATTCCCCAATTTAAAAAGAAAGAAAAATGAAAGGCCTCACCTCCAAATATCATTACATTGGGGCCTCAGTTTCAACATGACTTTTTTTTTTTAAGATTTTATTGGGGAATTGGGGGAGGGGAACAGACAAGTTACTGTCCTTTTGTTCTTCAGTCTAATTGTGGAGGACGTCGCTTCACTGGCCCATGTTGGTATTATCATTGCGCTCTTCCCGGGTGAGGCAGATCGGTCGCCAGCCTCTGGACAGCCAGCCGCTCACGGTGGCTCTTGGCAGCTCACATCGGCTGCTGGCCGCTCACCCTGGCTGCCAGCCACACACGGTAACTTGTGGCAGCCCACTGCAGCAAGGGCTTCAGCCTACGCCGTCACCAGTGACTCACGGCAGCCCAACTCCAGGTTGAGCTGTTGTTCACCATCTTAGCTTGTAGAGGGCAGTGTCACTGGCCCTCATGTGGGATCCAAACCGGGGCCCTACTGCTCAGAGCTGGCGTCCCAAGCCAGCTCTTAACCAATGCGCCACTTGGCTGGCCCTCAACATGACTTTTGAGGAGACACATACATTCAGTGTATAGCACATTCTTGTAGTATATACTTTGGCTTTATTATCTTCGAATTGTGTGTTAAAGGGATCAAAACTCAGAGTAGCTCAAACATTCTAAAATAATAGTAGATCTTGGAAGAAGAAAGCTACTGTGTATCTGACCAGCCCTAAGTTTTATATTAGCTGGTTGAATACTTTTAGCAACCCTGTGAAGTGGGCACAAGTTATTCCCATTTCTCAGATGAGGAAACAAGCTTAGATAATTGAAAGAAACCTGTCCCGGGCCCCACAGTTAGGAAGTGGCCTGCAGTTTGAATTCAGTTTGTTTGGCCCAGAGCATGCCCTTCTTAGGACACCATGCTGCCTGCACTCTTCAGTCTCCTGTGTGGGAAGGAGGAAGGTGTCGGGTAGGAGTGGGAAGAAGAAGCCACACCTCACATACTGCAGTGAGTGAGCTTCCAGGATTGTTCTTCAGTCTCTTAGAAAGCATTTTTCTACTCAGAAAATTTTTACTGTTTCAGAGATGTGATTCTTTTTAACCTTGGCTCATTTTAAGATCTTGAGTTGTGAGACTGAGGGAGGACATTGGCTAGGCAGGGAAGAAGCAGCTCTGAACAGTTAGCGGTTCTCAGCTCCATGTGTACCTTGGGATACCCCAAGGAGCTTCCAGAAACCCAGGCCCAGGTTGGAGCCTCGTCTCCACTATCTCTGGGGCCTCCTGATTCACTTGGTTCTGGGGGGCTAGGACCCAAGCCTGGGCATGTTTTTAAGTGCCCCGGGTGATTGTAATACTCAAACAAGTGCAGCCGAAGATAGGAGCCTGGGGAGGCTTGCCTTTTTCCCTAAGCTCCTAAAATCTTTTCTCACCAGATGGCAGTGGTGATCTACCATTCATATATTGGTAATAAACCGGGTGGTTTAAAATGTGCACTTCAGTTATTCTCTGACATTTTTGCAAGCATAAACTGATTTCTGTTCATGTCTTTTCAGAATAACCTGAAGCCCCCAGAAGCAAAGAGGAAGATACAGCACGTTACATGGCCGTGAAGGAAAGTTTCCAAAAATGTAAATATAACTGTAACTGTAGTTTTTCAAACAAGTTCACATTATATTGACAGTATTTACAGAGATCTTGATTATTGTGGAATTTTCTTAAGAAATTTAAAATTAGGTTCATAATAATAAAGTCTTTCCGTTCCTCTTTTAAAAAAAAAAATTCTTGCCTTTCATTCCTTGATTCGGAAAGAATTTCTTTTTAAATGAGTGGCTTTGTATAAGTCATTTATATTGACCCTAGTCAAATCAGTAGCTACAAGTCTGGCATAAAGCATCCGATGAATTTTAGGAATTACTCTCATTACATTAGTCTGTTTCAGTCTTTGAGGAAATTTGAGGGGTTTTTTTAAACTCAGATATTTTAGAAGTTCATAATTTTCTTTTTCCCAAGCAAAAGAATGTAACAGTTCATCACAGTATTTTAGTAAATACTGCCAGACTCATCCTCGAAGTTCCCTAGGAAAAACCGATTTGCAGTGCTGTCCATAAATTTCTCATAGTATACAGATGAAATTGCTGGGCTTTAAGTGCTTATATTGCTTCTTCCCCTAAAAATCCAAAGGGAAATCAGAGCTTGCTATTGCTCCTCCCCTTGAAGTCATAACAGAGTCAACTGATTATGAGTGACTGGTCAGTTTCGCCCCTGGTCCCCCCTTGAGAGTGTTTTGTCATGGCAGCAGCCCTACCTCCTCTTTTCATGAGCAGTCTGTGATCTCACTCTGAGCTCAGGGGTGTCTCCCTCCTACAAGTATAACGAAGCTGACTTTAAAATATTCAGGCAAAGTAATCATGTTAGAGGTGGGACCTGTTGGTGGAAAGGTTAGAGAATAGGAAGGGGGGGGTTAGAATTCTAGAAATTCAGGGAGTCCAGGAAGTGTAGCACTGAGGGGAAAACGCAGCATGATGGGGAGCAGGAAGAAGAGGAGATGCTGAAGTCAGTCAGTAGAGTGACAGCCTAGAAAGGTACCAACTGGACCGCTTCCCACTGGGCTGTCACCCACAGAAGTCATCTCCTAAGGTTTTGTATTTGTGTTAAATTGGGTTTGTCATTTCCACTGTATAATGGAAGTCAGTGGGAAAAGAGGGTGTACCTGATATTCGTGATTTCTCGTGTCCACTTTTCTGCTCTGTTTCTAACCAAGTGAAAGGATACTTGACGCTTTATCCCTTGTATAATTGATCTTCACATTGGGGGTTGCCTTGTCAGTACTTTTTAGAGCAGCCTTGCTGCTCCTCTTTTGATTTGTTAAAATAAGCATTTTAGTTCAGCTATTGAACAGCCTTACAAAATATTAATTCAGCCTTGCAGGTAAGTACTTTAACTCTGTAGATTTTAGTCATTCTGCCTTTATCCAGACTGTAAATCTGTACACATAAGACAACATTGAATCATACTTAGTGTTGCATAAATTGTTAATGTTATGGGAAATTGTTAAGTATGTATAGTTATCTGCAGGACTGATGTCTGTAATATTGAAGGACAAATGTAACCATATACATAACTATATGTTAAAGGAGATTTTTTAAAGTGCAGATTTTAGGGTAGAATGACAAATTATATTTTATATTCAGTTGTCCCTTCTGCTTTCATATGCATCTCTCTCTTAGTTAAGAGAGAATTAGCCATTTGACACTTTTACGTCAGTAGAAACTTACTTTTAGGTACTCAAAATTAATTTTTAATTTATGTATTTAACTTAAAAGTAGGTTGGTAATAACAGCTGAACTGGGTAACACTGTTGCTTCAAATTGAAGTTTATATTATGAACATTCAGAATCAGTGCTCATATAGCAGCATATGCTTGGGCTCTTTTGCATTAGAAATGTGGAGAGGCGCTAAAGCCCTTCTGCATGTCGCACTGCCAGCATGTCAGAGCACTGTGCCTTCTCCGGGTGTGTACGTACAGCCTGTCTCAAGTGTCTCTCCACATGGGGAAGCCTGCTGAATAATGGGGATCTGCGGCTGAAGTGCTGGGCATCTTAGGGTTTGAAGTGTCGCTCTGGTGAGCTTTGAAGTTGAGAAAGACTTGATTTGAATGGCTGGCAACTTCAGAATACTCTGTACTCACTAACATGTGTACTGTTGTCGCTCTTGATTCCATATTCCAATAAAGCCAGTTTTTCTTATTATTGGGGTAAGCGAGTGAATGGCATGCGAGTGAGTCAGTGAGTGGCTTTGGAGGTGTAGTTACCATTTCCTGCCACTGGCAGGTGGTCTTGTTCTTTTCTTCCTCTCCTTCTCTGTTTGCTGTTTTCCTTTTTCTTATCCTCCTTTCCCATAGTTTTACTTTCTTTGCTTCCGTGTTCTTCCTCCTTTCTGTAGGTCCTAAGCTACAGGATTAGGTTTGCAAGTCCTGTTGCTTGACCCTGCTCGTTCACTGGGGGGGGTGAAGATAGGCTGACCCCAGTCCTCTTCCATTTGAGGGATCATAGACTGCTGCGTGAGTTCAGAGGGTCTCAAGGCCCTGCAGCCCAGGGCACTGAACTGCTCCCCAGGGCTGCAAAAGCCGTACACTTTACCAAACTAGCTTGGTTAACCTTGATCGCATCCAGGCACTCTGGGAAGTTGGTCCAACTACTACTATGAGGCCATAATGTTTTTGCTAGCATTAAAATTCTTCAAAATTGTAATTATTACTTGGAATAATATTTGGTTGACTTAAGTTTTGAGAGACGGTTCTGAAACTGATCTAGAGACTCATTCAATAGCAATGACCTTTTTAAAACTTACATTAAGTAAAACTGCCAGTAGATTAAATCATATGTATGTAAGAGCTTCCTCTATTTACTACTGTGGAACTTCAGTAATTTTTACATGCTACAAAATGGTCAAAATGTTTTTAAGTGTGCTCTTTTATTAAATGCTTGTGCAGGTTTTGTAATTCAGTACAGAAAGTTTAACCTTATAATGTACATTTTTTGTATGTAAAAAAGTCTTTTAAGTAGCCTTATCCTTATTTAAATAAACTGAATAAAATTATTGAGTAGGTCTGTCGTTTGTAAAAAAAATAAAATGGAAAAATACTCTAATGACTTGATCTTTTTTTATTTCCATAAACGATATTGAAATGTGTCCTTCTGTACCTGGGTTGATTGGAGTCAGGCATGATTCCCACAGCCCAGCCACAGCTTGGGGCCCCAGCTGTGAAGCGGAGAGTAGCTAGAGTGGCCTGGTGTTAAGAGGCTGACTCACTGACTGCCACTACGGTTGGAGGGATGCAAACAGGTCCTCCGAACCTCATCCCTTGGAAGCTTTCCTAACTAACTGGGACAAACGAGATTCAGTTGAGGGTTCACTTGTGTTTGGGGTGATCTTTAAAAATTAATTTCTAAACTGGTTTCTTAATGTCTTAATGTTGGATAGTGAAGCTCTAGATGAACTAACTTGGGAAAAGCCTCGGGTAACCTACCTTGAACCTAAAAAGTAGAGCCTTCATTTTTTTTGTCTGGAGAAGACACCAGAAAATCATACTTCCATTTAGATTTTTGGACTAAAGCGCTTTTTACTAACTGAAGTGCTCTACTCTGTCAGTTGCTATTAAACTTGATTGTCTTCCCAATTGTGGCAGAAAAAAAATAAAGATGTGAAATTAATTAGGCTTCTGCATCTTCAGAGAAGACAGGCAAGTGGACCATGCATAGTGGATAGAAACAAAATCAGCTTAAACATGGACTAGGGACCAGAGGGGAGGGTGAGGAGCAGCTTTCATATAGTGCTTAGGAAAGGCCTCTTTGAAAAGGTTATATTTTCAGGGGAGATAGCTATGGAAAGCTCTCAGGAAGCAGATAAGGGATTTGCTCTCTCAATGACAGGCTCGTAAAAGAAGAAAGGATGAAAAGGGTTTTATTCTGAACGCAATCATGGGGCATTACTGGATTTTGAGGATGGAGTTAGGAGTGTTAAGGTCTGTGTTTTAGATAAGTGTATCTTGGGATGGAATATGGACAGAACAATTAGATCCTGAGCTAGAGCAGTGTAAGGAGGGGAAGGACGGGAGGGACATCAGAGGCCTGGAGACGTGAAAATGACAATGTTTATCAGCTGGTTGGATTTGGGCTGTGCTGGGTGAGGTGCTGGAGAACCAGGCTCAGTTCTCAGAGCAACCTGGCTGTATCCCCATGCTCACCCAGGTAGGAAGGCTGGAGGAAAGCGGTCTGTATTTCAGTGACAACTGAGCACAGATATGAAGGTTGCTGCTGGCAATTAATACTGAATAATGTCTAGACCCTAATGTTATTTTTTAAACATGCAGCCTTGAGCACTTTTTGTTTAACTCAGACATTTGCAGAACTCTTGACAGGTGAGCTACAGAAATGTCAGCTTTCTGTGACTTGGGAGAAAAATTTATTTTTTTTTTAAAGATTTTATTGGGGAAGCAGAACAGACAAGTTGCTGTCCTTTTGTTCTTCAGTCTAGTTGTGGAGGACATCGCTTCACTGGCCCATGTTGGTATTGTGATCACTGCTCTTCCTGGCTGAGACAGATCAGTCGCTGGCCATTGGACGGCCGCTCACAGAGGCTCACAGCAGCTCATGCTGGCTGCTGGCTGCTTACGCTGGCTGCCAGCCACTCACAGTAGCTTACGGCAGCCCACTGCAGCAGGGGCTGCAGCCTACACCGACGCTGTCGACTCATGGCAGCCCAGCTCCAGTTCGAGCTATTGTTCACCATCCTAGCTGTAGAGGACACAGCGTCACTGGCCCATGTGGGATTGAACCGATGGCTCTGCTGCTCAGAGCACACACTCCCAAGCCAACTCTTAACCAACAAGCCACTCGGCTGGCCCTGGGAGAACTTTATAACGTAAAATGGTTCCCAACTTTCTTGGAATTTCATCAACCCAGGAGTGGTTAGTGTCTCATGGTGGCCATCAGGTCACAGCCCCATCTCACACACTGGCTGATCCTTTCCCCCCTCACTGGGAGATTGTGCCACTAGACTGAGATCCAGGACCAGGGGAGCTCCTGTTTTGTGCCGCTGTTGGAGTAGAAGCTGGAGTATATATAATAAATCCATCCAATGCTGGGTCGGCTTTCATTGTTCACAGGATAGTCACTTAGAGATGTCCTGTAAATCGAATGATAGGAAAACAAAGTTTGGTGGTTAGGACTAGATTTAAAACAGGAAACATCTGCATGTATTGTAATTAGTAGCCAAGATCATATAAAAGTATTGTTTGCACATCTACAGTTGAGCGGAAAATGTTCTTCCATTTCCGGAACCAAGACGTGCCTGTAGGGAAGCATCACTAAGTAGCTGCCTCATTTCTTTCCTTTCTCGTTCCTGTCTCTTCTCTCCAGGTCTTGGATCCTCGCGTTGGATTTGCCTTGCCTTCGTCACAGTACTGTTTACATCCCTAGCCTATGAGATTGCCACGAGTGGCACTGCCTTCTCTTCCCGTAGCCCTGCCTTCACTTAGATGCACAGATTCTGTGCACTTGCTTTTGTTTGTGTCCATATGTCCCTGAGCTGACTCAGGGCCCATGGCTTGGATCAGTTCCTGAAATGGCCCCCTTGGAATTAGGGACAGTTGAGGAGTACACCTCACTTCTGTGTGTTCTCAGTTGGATTTGTAAGATTTGGAGTCAATGCTGATTTACGTTAGTAATGGGGTTATAGAGGTTTGCTTTTTTAAAGCCACAGGGTGGAGGTTTTCACTTTGCAGAGAAGCCATAAGGAGCAGGGGCCATCTCTCTAGACGTCCCCGCCACCTGTGCTTCCAGGTGGGGCGCACCCCTGTAGGATGGGCTCCTCGGCTTCTCTGATTTGTCTGATGGGGAAGGGGCCATGCAGTGAGATTACATCATGTTTGACATCTCATGAACCTTGGATGAACACAAAAATTTTTAATTATTTTCAGCTTACTGAAATCTTCTTTGCTAGAACTCTGTGGCAATTGATTTGTTAAAAAAATTAAATCAAATCAGATCTTCTGCATGTGTCCTATGACTGTAAGCAAAGCCATACCGGCAGATGTGGAGGTGATGCACGGGCTCATCACTGTGGCTTCCACTCATCAAGCTTGACCCCCACAGTCACTGCTGAGTGCCATATCTGCCAGGGGCGCAGACAAACACAAGGTCCCTGATGTGGTGCTGTCCTCAGGGTGATCAGGCAGCTGCCCCATGGCAGGCGATTATATTGGACCTCCTCGCCCATGGAATGGGCAGTGTTTTGCTCTTATTGGCTTAGACACCTACTCTGGGAAGAGAATTGCATTCCCTTCCCTTCACACAGTGTTTCTTGTAACTACCATCTGGAGCCTCACAGAGCACCTTATCCACCATCACGGTCTCTCACTCATCAAAGGACTCTCCGCACAGGAATGAAGTGTGGCATTGGGCCCATGCTCACCAACTCACTGGTCTTCCCCTGTTCCCCTTCCTCCTGAAGCAGCTGACTTGATAGGACAGAAAAATGGGCTGTGACATCTGAGTTGAATGTCACAGGTGGTGATACCTTGCACAATGGGGGCAGTTCCCCAGGAGGCTGCTTCAGCCCTAAATCAGTGTCCATTATATGCACTGATTTGCCCAGAGCCAGGATTCATAAGTCCATCAGTCATAGGTAGACCTGTGTGTGGCCCCACCCACTATTACCACTGTTGTTCTCATTTATGTACGATTTCCCAGGGCTGAGAGACATGAAAAACAGGCTGACAGCAACATCATGACATTGAGAGTTTATTAAGGGAACTTACATATGAGGCACATGTCGGGCGATGGAAAGACAACGTGGATGTCCTCCACACCAGGTGGCAGGTGCTTTAGGGCTATACAGGACAGCGCAGGATGGTCAGGGGAACTGGGGTCTGACCCACCCTTTAGACTTGCCCAGGGCAGGCAAGGCTTGTTCCAGGAACCTGCACATCTTGGGCTTCACAAGGGACCGGACCGTGTTTAAGGGGATTCTGGAGAAGCAACCTCTGCTCTGGCCCGGATCTAACTGGATCCAGCATGAGGGTCCGGCAGTGGTCAGGCGGCGGTCCTGTCATGGACCAGCCTCTCCTCCACAGCCGGAGTGATCCGCTAGCATCACTTCTGCTTCATGGGCCTGTGACCTCATGGTCAGGGGTCTTCATTCCAAAGAAAGGAGAGCTTTGTCCAGGACACACATTGATTCCATGGACTGGAAATTAAGACTGCCGCCCCGCCACTTAGGGCTCCTCATACCTCTAAATCAGCAGGCACTGGCTGGTGAGTGATCTTTGTTACCCGGGGGAGAGTGGACAGCTGCTCTGCATGGAGATATAAGTACAGGAGATTCCTTAGGGCTTTCTTAGCATTACTGTGCCCTGAGAGGACGGTAGATTGAAAGGTATAAGAAACCAGTCCAGGCGTGACTACTGATGGCCCAGGAATGAAGGTCAGCGTCATCTCACCAGGCAAAGTGCACGACCAGCTGAGGTGCTTGCTGAGACCAGAGCTGAGACCAGAGTGATGGAAGAAGGTCGTTTTAAATACTAGCTCTGAATTGTGACCAACTGCAAAAGCATGGATTTGATAGTTATACTTTTTTCATATTCAGTTGTGAATAATTTGAGATTTCTGTGTATTTTATGCATTAAATTTACATCAGTATAAAAACTAGGCCGTGCGATATGTGACCCTCAGTATAAACATGGTCTCTCAGGGTGACTGTCAGTGCCCTTTTGGCCATTGGATGCCCAAAGATGCACTAAGTTGTTTGTCCTCTGCTATGTCCTTAGGGACAAGAGCTATGAAATATTGCTACATACAGGATGGGCCTCAGGAGCTTCCGGTCCTGCAATGGGAACCCTTCAGGCACCCTCACCTCCCCCCTGGCCCTGTCAGCCCTGGAACCTGGCACGTGTCCTTCTCTTTGGAGGTTTACTCTTACCTGTCTTTCCTTTAGCAAATCATGTTCCTGGAGGGCTGTGCCATGTCAGGAAGGGCCTGGGTTGTCAGGCATCAGGATTTATAGTCAGCCCCCGGCCACACGAAAAGGCCTCCCAGGCA